TGCTGAGTCAGAGGAAGCTGGGTAAAGAGCACATGGAATGCCCACCACTCTGCAAGTCTTCTGCAAATATGAATTGGTGTTTTTGGTTGGTTGTTTTTTTGGCATTTTGGGGTCACACCCAGTGATGTTCGGGGGTTACTCCTGTCTCTACACTCAGGAATTACTTCTGGCAGTGCCCGGGGGACCAAATTGGGATCCCAGGGATTGAACCTGGCTTGACCGTGTGCAAGGTAAACACCCCACTCGCTGTACTATCATTCCGGTCCTCAATCTAAATTGTTTTTAAGGTTCTGAGCTTCATGTACTTTCTGTAAAGATGGCCACAGCTTAAAAACAACACCTTTGTAGAAAGTTTTCCCCTTTATTTGTTCTAATGTCTTTCTGTGTTAGTTAATGTCCACTATAGAATATGAAATAATAATATTGCCCCTGGTGAAATCTGGCTAAGTGCTCATTTGATATCTAGTAAGTCAGCAGAAAGATTGATAGCAGCAGTTCTATTTATTTATTTTGGTTTGGGTGCCACATCCAGCAGTGCTCAGGGATTACTCCTGGCTCTGCATTTAGGATTACTCTTGGCAGTGCTGGGGGTGGGGGTGGGGGGAGATGACCAAATAGATGCTGGGGATAGAACCCAGGTCAGTCCTGTGCAAAGCAAACGTCTTACCTGTTGTGCTATTGCTCTGGTCCCTACAGTAACATTTTGTTTATTTGTTTGTTTTTGTTTCTCTACTGAATCTGTATGTGAGATACAGTTACAACCTTTCCTGTCTGAGTTTCAGTCGTGCAGTGATGGAAGACCAATCCCTCCACTAGAGCATTCTCCACCACCAATGTACCCAGTATCTCACCCCCTTTCCAGCTCTCCTCTGCCTCTGTGGCAGACAGTTTCCCCCATACTTTGTTTCTACTTTTGGGCATTATAGTTTGCAATATAGATCCAACATTAACAGTTTTAAAAGAAATAACATGTTAGAGCTGGGATATGTCTTAACGAGTGAGATCATGCTTTGCGTACTGGAATTTTGGGTTCAGCCTCTGAGAACGATGAGGTTCCCAGTACACAGAGCCAGAATGGCAGTATGGGCACTGAGGTTGATGTCTGCTTTGGACAGCTCGGGCAGTAAAGGCATCTTTAAGGAAGTGCCAGTTGAGAGAACTGAATGAAATAAGGCGTCTGTCGAGACCATTCTGACCGGGGCAGCAGGCAAGGGGACCTCCTGAGATGGAGAACAGCAGTGAGGAGACACAGTGTGTCTGAATTGAGTAAGGAGAACGGGAGGTGACCAGGTCAGTCCAGTCACTGAAAAGGCTTGTGGGAAACATGAGCATCCTGACAAAGGCAGCAGTTGCTCTCAGGAGATAGGAGCTGATGGACACTTGTGGCGCCTTATCTCCAGCTGTATAGGAGAGTGTTGCGAGGTGCAACTGGCCAGCCAGAGACTGATTCTGAAGCAGTTGCGGTGCCTGCGTGACAGTCTTCCCTTTCGCCTCTCTGTGCCAGTCACACTTGAACAACATGGGTTTGATGTGCACTGGCCACCTGAGACAAGGGCTTTTGTCAACGCCTCACTTTCTCCTCCTCACCCTACTCTGTGAAGAGGACAAGGATGAAGGCCTTTATGGGTATTTAAGATTTTTTTCCCTTCTTTTTTAGTATATATATATTTTTTCCTTCTGGGGCCCACCCAGAGGTGTTCAGGGCTTCCTCCTGACTCTGTGCTCAGGGATCACTCCTAGTGGGCTTGGGAGGGTGGGGCTGGGGGGTCATGTGTGGTGCCTGGGATTGAGCCCTGGTCAGCAGGGTGCAAGGCAAACACCCTCCCCATTGTACGCCCCACCTGTTGTACTATCTTTCTGGTTGTTACTTATGATTTATTTTTTTAAATAAAATGTAGGAGTATTGTTATTTGGTCAGCCATTGATTGAGCTGATTGAATTGGGCATGAACTCCACATTACTTTTTTATTTTATTGTATCACTGTGAAATAGAGTTACAAAGCTTTCATGTTTGAGATTCAGCCATACAATGATGAAACACCCATCCCTCCACCAGTGCACATTTTCTACTACCGATGTCCCAAGTATCACCCCCCCCACCACCACACACACACACATACATACACATTGCGGTCTTCACCCTGCCTCTATGGCAGACAGTTTCCCCAATATTCTCTCTCTAATTTGGGGCATTAATTTTGCTCAAATTTTTTCATCACCATTCAAGCCTAGCTGCCAGGAGCAGACACTAGATAATGTATTTTCCATAGCTCATTTCAAATATCACGAGAGATCACGCAGGCACAATTGTAAATGTAAATTTCTAGATTGTAAATGGGTTCCAGACACATCTCTGTATGGCACTAATCCATTTTGATATTCAAATGGGAGCCTCTGGGCCAGGGCTGTTGGTACGCTAAGTTGGGGCTCGGAAGCTAATTGTGGAGATGACAGCCAGTCTTCTGGGTGGGCGGAGACCCAGGGAGGGACAGCCCGGGTCCTTTGCTGCCATGCGGCCTGGAGATGTAGTCCTGGAACCCACATCGATTTGCTTGAGCGGGCCCAGTAACGTCTCCATTTTGAGACTTGTTGTTACGGTTTTTGGCATATCGAATACGTCACAGGTAGCTTGTCAGGCTTTGCCGTGCGGGTGAGATACTCTCAGTAGCTTGCCGGGCTCTCCGAGAGGGGCAGAAGAATCGAACCTGACTCGACTGGGCTGGCTGCGTGCAAGGCAAATGCCCTACCGCTGTGCTATCGCTCTAGCACATACCTGGGCCTTACTTGTGGAAGTTCTTGGTCACTGGGATTCCATCTGGAGTAGGAGGGGAGACTGCACCTGCTCCATCTGGGGTACCCCAGTGATACTGGCTCATTATGGGGCCCAGAGAGCTCTCGGGTGCTGTGGTATCATCTGGGACTTGCTGCTGTGTCTCTGGGCCAGGGCTGTTGGTGTGCTAAGATGGTGCCCAGAGGTTAATTGTGGACATAACAGCCAGTCTTCTGGGCGGGTGGGGACCTGGGGAGGGACAGCCCAGGTCCTCTGCCACCAATGTGGCCTGGAGATATAATCCTGAACCCCCATACCTGGGCCTTGCTTGTGGAAGCTCTTGGTCACTGGGATTCCACTGGAGCAGGCACCTACTTATGATTTTCTTGAGAACATTTTTGTGTGTGTGTCTTTACTGTAACATACAAAGTTGTTATTGTAACATACAAAAGATGTGTTTAAAGTGTATGTGCTGGGGCTGGAGAGATAGCACAGCGGGTAGGGCGTTTGCCTTGCACGCAGCAGGCCCGGGTTCGATTCCCAGCATCCCATATGATACCCTGAGCACCGCCAGGAGTAACTTCTGAGTGCAGAGCCAGGAGTAACCCCTGTGCATTGCCAGGTGTGACCCAAAAAGCAAAAATAAATAAATAAATAAAGTGTATGTACTGGCTTATTCTCCCGGAAGGGAGCAATATGATGCCTGCCATAGCCATGCCAGGCTGTTTCACTCAGGGTGCCCCAGAGAAGGGCGGGTGAGAGTTGTCGTCGTCCCCCCCCCCCCCCCCCCGCCCCAACGAACCCAGCCCCGGCAGCCGAGAAACTCCGCTGCCACCGTGCTCAAGGCCGCTCCCCACACGCTCAGGCCCAGCCTCACGCATGAAAGAACCTATTCCTGGACACATCATAGGACACTCCCTACCCATTCTCAAAGAGTACCACACCACTTTTGATGGGGTTCAAATAGGCAACCAATCATAGAGGGAATTTTATATATATATGCTATATATGCCAAATACCAGTAACAATGATGGATCTCATTCTCCTAAAGAGCCTTGAATATAATCTCAGGGCTAGGATGAAGGAGATGTTACTGGGGCCTGCTTGAGGCAGTTGACAATTAACAGGATGATTTGTGATTTTTTTGTGATTGTGATGCTATATATATATATTTTCAGATATATATATATATATACACAAAAGTTCACATCACTCAACCTTTAACAACATGTTTGTGATATCCTAAAGAAGGTCTTAATGGCCCCTGCCAAAATAGAACAGTCTTCACACTATTTCCTCTATGGATACTTTTTTTGCAGCAGTTTTTCATCACAATAGAAAATATATTATTTTGTTGTGTTTTGGGACAGGGATTGGGGCTTGGAATGGAAACATCCCAGATATGGTGGTGGGAAGATGTAATGGTGGTGGGATTGGTGTTTGAATATTAAATGTAATCAAATATTGTGAACTACCTTATAAAATAAAATTTAAAAAAATAAAGTGTATGTGCCAATTAGGTTTGTGTTACAGGTAAAACTTCCGATCTGCAGGATATTGCAGTTTAGTTTTGGTGCGTCAAAAGCCACATGTCGAACCAGGAAGATAGCTCAAAGGACTAGTGTGTGTGCTTTGCGTGTGGCAGACCCAGGTTTGACCATCATTACCTTCTGGTCCCAAGCACCACCAGGAGCATCCCCCAAGCAGTGTGGCAGGAGTAGCTTCAAGTTTTATGTAGATTTTTTTAACTGTGCAGGTTCAGCAACTTCATTTGTTTTTTAAATGTTTTTCTTTTGGTATTTGGTGGGCTACACCCACTGATGCTCAGCAGTTACTCCTGGTTCTTCATTCAGGTATCACTCCTAATGGGGCTTAGGGGACCATATGGGATGCCGGAGATTGAACCTGCGCTGGCCTCGTGCGAGGCAAGTGCCCTCTCCGCTGTACTGTCGCTCCAGCCTAGGATCATCATCCTTAGCCTCTGACTTATTCAGGAGTTGCCTTTCTTCTCATTTGGTGGCTCAGTTCTGAATGTGCAGTATCAGTACTACAACATAACACCACTAGGTGTGTTTGCAAAGCTGCAATGTACACGGACCTGACTGGGCAGAGTGGGGCGGGGCAGGGGCTGTTAAAGCAGACGTGTAGGTGGGGCCACATGATCTGGATCTGCTGGAGGAGGGTGTTTGCTGATGTCCCCTGTCCTGACGGCAGCATCTCTCTGTCCTTGCAGGATTGGTTGCCATGGTCCCTGCTGCTCTCTCTCATGTGGGAAACAAGTGCCTTCTATGTCCCTGGGGTTGCGCCCATCAACTTCCACCAGAACGACCCTGTAGAAATCAAGGTGAGTGGATCCCCGGCCGGCTTGTCACACCCTGCCTGTGTGTGGTGGCCAAGAGTGAAGACCCCTTCCCGTTCTGCTGAGCAGGCCAGGAGGAGAGAGTCCTCCGGAGCTTGCACTTCTGGGAGCTCTGCGCCTCTGCCGCCAGTGTCCTGTCAGACCCCTCTCCTTGACTCTGTCTCCCTTGCTCATTATTTCTGTCTGTTTCACTTTGTCTTCATGTCATGTAAAAAGTGTGTGTGTGTGTGTGTGTATGCATGTATGTGTGTTGTGTGTGTGTGTGTGCACATGTGCGGGCATGCATGCATGTGTGGCTTGCACATCCTTTCTGTGTCTCTGGCGCTTTCCAACTATCTGTTTCCTCCTTTTGTTAGCTCCAGCCTCCACTTTAGTTTTTATTATTTTGTTTTTTATATTATTTTGATTTTTTTAATTACTTTTTTATTGGGCTGGAGCAATGGCACAGCGGGTAGGGCATTTGCCTTGCATGCGGCCAACCCAGGTTCGATTACTCCACCCCTCTCGGAGAGCCCGGCAAGCTACCAAGAGTATCTCGCCCACGCGGCAAAGCCTGGCAAGCTACCCATGACTATTCGATATGCCAAACACAGTAACAGGTTTCACAATGGAGACATTACTGGGCCCACTCAAGCAAATCAATGAACAGCAGGAGGACAGTGACAGTGACTTTTTTTTTTTTATCAAACCACCATGAGATACTTATAAAGTTGCTCATGACTGGGTTTTGATCATGCAATGTGTTCCAAATCCTTCCCTACATTTCCCACCACCAATGTCCCCCATTTCCCTCCTTCCACGCCCCCCCCCCACAGTCTACTTTACAGCAGGCACTGTTCTCTCTGTCTCTCTGTCTCTCTCTTCATAAATATATGTGTGTGTGTATATATATATATATATGTGGTTTGCAGTAGATACTGAAAGGTTATCATGTATATTTCTTTACCCACTTTCAGCATTCAGTCCTTGTCCAGAGGGATCATTTCGAACTATCATTGTCACAGTGGTCCCTTGTCTGTCCTAACTGCCCTCTCCCCCCAATTATGGCAAGCTTCTAACTGTGGACCAGTCCTCCTATCCTTCATTTCTACTGTCCTTGGGTAATAGTCTCATACTGTGCTTTTTTTTTTTCTTCGCTTTTTGGGTCACACCCGGCGATGCTCAGGGGTTACTCCTGGCTCTACACTCAGGAATCACTCCTGGCGGTGCTCGGGGGACCATATGAGATGCTGGGAATCAAACCTGGGTCCGCCGCGCACAAGGCAAACGCCCTCCCCGCTGTGCTATTGCTCCAGCCCCTCATACTGTGCTTTTTATATCCCACAAATGAGTGTTATCATTCTATATCTGTCCCTCTCCCCCTTATACATTTTATTTAACATGATACTCTCCATGTCCATTCATATATAAGCAAATTTCATGACTTCCTCTTTCCTGGTAGCTGCATAGTGTTCTACACATGGCTGTGCAGGTGTACCATAGTTTATCCAGCTGTCTGTTCTCAGGCACTCAGGTTGTTTCCAGGTTCTGGGTATTGTGAATAGTGCTGCAATGGACATAAGAGTGAAGATGGTGTTTCTGCTGTTTGTTTTTTCAGCCTCCACTCTGTTACCAGATTTCTCTAACACAACATGGAACATCTGTGTACACAGTCCTAGTTTTCAGTTTTAGCTCTGGCCACCAGTAGTATTCTCCAGTTCAGTATTTCCAAATGGTTCTCGGCATCATCTCAGTGCTGCTGTACAAGATGAATTTCAGTGGTTGACAGATATATTTTACCTTAATGGTTATTTTAGTGCATAGTAAAAAATGTAGTGAGTGCTTGCTTCGGCAGCACATATACTAAAATTGGAATGATACAGAGAAGATTAGCATGGCCCCTGCGCAAGGATGACTTGCAAATTTGTGAAGCGTTCCATATTTAAAAAAAAAATGTAGTGAGTTCTTTGGCTGGTGATTTCATGGTTGTTGTTCATTTTACCTTTTCAGGGAGAAGTCATACCCAGAGGTGTCAGACCTTTGTACATGCAAGGCCCATGCTCTACCATTTAAATAACTTCCCTGGCACTGGTTTTCCACTTTTAATAGAAATGTGCTATTTGCTTTTTTATAAATATATTTACCTAAAAATAAGTCAGTAGATGTATTTCCCTAAAAATGAGTCAGATGCAAGTAAGTGTTGCAGTAAGTAACAGGACTGGTAGGTACTTGAATGATTGGGATTTGGGGAGCAGTGCCTTAAACAAGTGTCCAGAAGAAACAGTCCAACTAATCTACTTCCCTTTTTCAGGCTCATTTCCTGCCTGGAGGGAGGGTCAGTCGGTTATAGCAGGGTAGGGCAGACAGAATCGTTCAGTATAAAATTTGATTGATCCAAAGCCAGAGAGAATACAGATGATGAGGTGCTTGCCTTGCATACAGCCAACCCCAGTGCAACACACAACATGGCATAGGGTCTCCCTAAGCCTTCATGAGTGATCCCTGAACACAGAACCAAGAGTAAGCCCTAGCACCACTAGGTGTGACCAGGCCACCGCCACCCCCTCCCCCTTTATTTTTGTTTCATCCATTTAATGTCTAAAACAGTAAACTCTTGTTTACATTCCCAGAGCTCCAAAAGGGGCTAGAGGTTGGTGGTAACAATTTTGTAGGGGGTAGGGCCAGTGCATAGGGCACTTGTCTTGCACACAGCTGACCCAAGCTCAATCTGTGGCACCCCTTGTGGTCCCCTGAGCCCATTAGGAATGATCCCTGAGTGCAGAGCCAGGAATAAGCCCTGAGCACTGCTGGGTGTGGCCCTAACCACACACCTCCCACCAAAAAGATTGTGTGTGTGTGTGTGTGTGTGTGTGTGTGTGTGTGTGTGTGTGTGTGTTGGAAGTTAATCCTTGTAGTTGGTACTTAAAAGGAATAGCCAGTGTAGAGGTTAAAAATGTAAATGCACCAATGGAAAAAAAATAAAACCCATTGCAAATCCGACTGTAACCAGGCAAGGGTCTTCTTTGTCTCCTTCCCTGCTCTCTGCCAGTGGCCCTGGTGTGGAGCCTGGCGGTGTGGCTGAGTACGGGAAAGTGGCGACACTGAGACCTGTGCTGCCATTCCTAATGCTGGCATAGTGTGCTTCTCGGCATCCAGAGTCTGCCCAGCAGTTTCCTGCAGTGATTTAGGGGCCTTTTCCTAGTTATATTTGCCTGAGAGACTCAAGGATTCCCTCCACCCCCACGCCCCCAGGTACTCCCTGTCACACACCGTCTGATTTGCAGGTTTGCTGTACATATTACAGGGAAAGTCAAGGAATCAGGGGAGTGAACCCACTCTCCGTCTCGATCACGTGGTGAGAAGGATGAAAGATTGGTTTAGAGCAGTGTTTTCCCCGAGTGGGTGAGAGACCAGGGGAGGGGAGGTGCTAGAACTGTGGGAGACTGGGGAGGGTTTTACTAGCCTCAGGTGCAGTGGGGCACCTTCAGTTCAAAGAAGTTCCTTTCAGGCCAGATAAATAGTTCAAAGGTCAAGGCACTTGCCTAGTAACCAGCTCTGGCCATGTACATTCAAATCCCAGCACTGCCTGAACAAAAACAAAAAGGTTAGATTTCCATGAGGTGCTGAGTGATATTTTTCTGAAAAGGAGCAGCAGGCCAACTCAGTTTGGAGGACTCTGCTTTAAAACCCTGTCTATTTTTTTTGGGGGGGGGGTGGAAGTGGAGGGGGTGCACCTGGCAGTCAAGGCTTGCTCCTGACTGCGCTCATGGATCACTCCTGGAGGTACTTGGGGAACATTTGAGGTGCCAGGAATTGAACTGCGTTGGCCACGTGCAGGCAAGCTCTCTCACTGTACTCTCTCCAGCCCACATCCCTGTCTTTTAACCACTGCCGTCCTCTTCCTCATACTCTGCCACGTGTCCCTTCAGAGCAAATCTTGTGGTATAGAGGCACAGGGGGTGCTCCTGCTCACAGGCCATTCAGACTGGGGGTCTGCAAAGCAGACATCCCACATGAGAAGAGAAGATGGCAGGGAACATGAAGCTTTTTTGACTTCTTGTAATGTGGATTGTTTCACTGTCCAGAAAGAAAGCTAAGAACCATGAAACAATACTGTTACAGTGGTCAGTAAATTTTTGGCCATTTTGCCTGAAGCTATTTATGAAACACTTAACACAGTTTAGGATTCCCTTAATCCTGTCTAACAAACTGCAACCCAAGGTTTTTCTAAGCTCATCATTGGCAAGGCCTGAGCTGAATTTACATGGACTGACTGACTTTCTCCTTGCCACTGGTAGGAATATGTTCACATTTCCTGTCCAGTACTCCAGTTTCGAGCACTGTTCCAGACCCTCTGCAGGACAGGTTAGAAAACCCCTAGTCTGGCATATCACATCACCATTTTGTAGTTTCAGAATGCCTGCCTCCTTGAGGCCGATAGTATAGTGGGTAGGGCATTTGCCTTGTGCGTGACTGATCAGGGTTCGATCCCCTGCATCCCATATGATCCCCCAAGCACCGCCAGGAGTGATTCCTGTAGAGCCAGGAGTAATCCCTGAGCATCACTGGGTGTGACCCAAAAAGAAAACAAAACCTGATTCCAAAGCAAGGCTTTTAAATAAAGATTGTGGCCCTCGTTTCTAAAACCACAGTTTTAGAATGGTTGATAGAATGGTTTTAGAACAGGAATGGTTGATAGTTAAGCAAAGATAATTTTCCTAGATTTAGATGGGGAAAAACTTTTGCTACAAATTGATTTTGTTTTATGTGTGGTTTTGGAGTTGTTTGAACGACTATTTCCACACTCTTCCATTTGCTTGCATCATTTCCTAAACATTCTCTGTTAAGGCCATCTTAAGCCTCATTTTTTTTTTATTAGTGAAACACCATGAGGTACAGTTGTAGACTTACACATTTTTGTCCTTGGGTTTCAGTTATACAATGATTAAATACCCATCCCTCCACCAGTGCCCATTCCCCACCTCCAATGCTCCCAGCATCCCTCCCACCCCCCCATCCCACCCCACCCCACCCCTGTGGCAGGGCATTCCCTTTTATTCTCTCTCTCCTTTTGGGTTTAAGCCTCATTTTCAATGATTGCATAATATTTAGATGAATAAACATTGTGGTTTATTGACCAATTTCCCCTTGTGGAACTTTTAGTTTTCTATCTTTCCTCTTCTGTAATTCAGCAAGCATTTCATGAGCACCTACTCTGTGCCTGCCTCTACATACACCGTTGTTCTGGCAGTGCACAGACACACATGGGGGTTTATGTGCCAGTGGAGAGGCAAAGTTACAATAACCAGGCCAGAGGGATAGTCCAGCAGGTAAGATGCTTGCCTTGCACACAGCTGACCTGGTCTCCATCCCTGGTCCCCCATATAGTCTCCCAAGCCCCACCAGGAGTGATCCTGGAGCACAGAACCAGGAGTAAGCCCTGACCACCTCTGGGTGTGGCCCTTTCAAACAAAATAAATTTTTTTTTTAAATAAAAGGCCCAAAGAAATAGTACAATAGACAGGGCATTTGCCTTGCATACGTATGACCCAGATTTGATCCCCCTCACCCCATATGGTCCTCCAGGCCAGGAGTGATCCCTGAGAACCACTGGATATGGCCCAAAAACAAACAAAAAAAGCCCCCAATTTTTTTAAAGTAATCCTTCACATTTCATGTGGACTTTATCAGACATGTTGTGTGGACATGGGACATGTTGAACAGGGGGAGTTCCTGTAGAGGAGATGGTGCTGACCTCATGCTGAAAACCGAATGTGCGAAGGCATGAATTGGAATGCCCCATGCCAGTTACAAGTAGAAGAGAGCCTCTTAGCTCCCACTGTTTCTGCCTCTTATTATCTCATTCTTACTTTGGACAAAATGGCAGGCTACCGAATGTAACCTGCCCTCACGGCAGAGTCTGGCAAACTCCCCGTGGCGTACCCAATATGCCAAATACCAATAACAATGATAGGTCTCATTCTCCTAACCCTGGAAGAGCTTTTAATATGGCACTTCTTAAAAAATCTCAGGGCTAGAACGAAAGAGACGTTACTGGGGCCTGCTCGAGGCAATCGACGAACAACAGGATGGTTGTGATCGTGATCGTTTCTGCCTCAGTTGGAGTTCTTCCCTCCCGTGCGACCCGTGCTGTCTACTTTCACACACCCCTGCTGTGCTCTGTGCCAGCCGAGAACCCAGGACCTCACATCCCATTGCTTGAGCCCAGCCACAGCTCACTGTATGGTTTTGGGGATTAAATTTTTCCCTTCCCTTTTCTGTTGATTTTTTTTTTTAAGGATCACATACTTTTGTGACATTGCTCACAGAAACCCTTTTCTTGCCATGTTTGCCAGAGCTTGTTGATGCTTGCTTGCTTCCAGTTGTAGTCCACAGGAGAACCTAAACAGCAGAGCCACTGGGATCACACGGGGCCTGTGGGAAAGGGTCAGCACCAGACTCTTGGTCTCCCTGGCCTCAGGCTTGGAATGAAGGCACTCGATTGCAGCATTATTCCCGGGCACCCAGAGTTATGTTTTATTTTATTTTATTTTTGCTTTTTGGGTCATATCCGATGATGCCTAGGAGTTACTCCTGGCTTTGCACTCAGGAATTACTCCTGGCAGTGCTCGGGGGAACATATGGAATGCTGAGAATCGAACCCGGGTCAGCTGGGTGCAAGGCAAACACTCTACCTGCAGTACTATTGCTCCAGTCCGGAGTTAATGTTCTAGAAAGTGTGCGTGAATTTGCTTTTGTTTTGGAATCACACCTGGTGGTGCTCAGAACGTATTCCTGGCTCTTTGCTCAGGGACCACTCCTGGCAGGGTTCCAGGGACCATATGCGGTACTGGAAATTGAACCTGGGTCAGCTCCATGCAGAGCAAGTGCCTTACCTGCTGTACTGCCTCTCTGGCCCAGAAAGGGTGCATTTATAAATGATAGTCTTGAGTCGAAGGATAGCACCTTGTAGAAAGACTGAAACTAGTTGTGATATTAAACAAGATCTCTGGTTGGAGTGTCGATCAGATAATATTGCAGAGTATTCTAAAGATGGAGGGTATCAGGGACGATTGTTGAAATAATCGTCTTAAGTTTCTGGCTTAATTACCCTCTTTCCCCACTAGGCTGTGAAACTCACCAGCTCTCGAACCCAGCTACCTTATGAATACTACTCACTGCCCTTCTGTGCTCCAAAAAAAATCACCTACAAGGCAGAGAATCTGGGTAAGTTCTTTTCTCACAATTCTGTCATCCTTTTCCTCAGGGAAGTCCAGCTCTTTTCATGATAATTGCAGCTGCTGACCCTATCAGTCTATGTCCGTATACTGTTCTACCGAGTTTCTGTACATAATGACATGACTAATCCTCAAACAACCCTCCGGAAGCTGTGCTGGCTTTGTTCCCATTTTACACGTGAAGTGACTGGCCTCTGCTCTTGCCGTTCATGAACGGGTAAGCTGGACTTGGAGCTCACGGGGCTTTGGCGTTTGTAACCCTTGGCTGTTGTCCAGACTGGCTTGCCCTTGATTTTTAGATAACCACCTTCTCACGCTGCAGCCTGCTCTGCTTTTTACTGAAAGGGCAAGTGATGAGCTCCAGCCCCTGACAGAAGCAGAGCTCTTCTGAGAGCTCTAGTCAACCGAGTTCTGGCTCAGCTCTGCAAGGCTCGCCTCCGATAGCGTGTGAAGCACCCGGCGCAGTGTCTGGCACGGTGCTCCATAAATAGTAGCCACTTTAGTCTCATTTATGTAATTCTCCATTTGGCAGAATGTGAAGCTTACACAAAAGAGCCATTTGGAGGCGTCTGTTGGGGACACGGTCATTCGTGCTTCTGTGCCTATCTGTGTTGATTCCCAGGGACAGACTACTCAGGAGGACGCTCTCCCAGAGCGCAGGAGTGGAAGAGACTTCCCTCTTTCCTCGGAGCCCCTCCGTCCAGGCAGGAGAAAGTGGAGATCTGGTTCTTGAGCAGGAGCTGAACTGCCTTCTCTGCTCAGGTCTTGAAGCCCTAGAGAACACTAGATTTACCCTAGGCATTGGCCTGGAAGCCAGTTTCACCAGTAATAGAGGGCAGTACCGCCGGGCCCGTGTCACCTGGTACTCTTACCCGAGTGGTTTCAGCGCTTTCTGCTGACTTGCACGCCGCCCTGGAACCTTCCTTTCTCTCTTTACCACGCCGTGCTCCCGCCTCCTTGCCTCTGCCTGATCCACATGCTCCTCCAGGCTCCTGGGACAGGGCCCTCACACACGCCTTTCCCCTGTGTGCAGTTGTGAATTCCCTGGTCCCCCAGAGCTCACGGTCAGGCCAGCCGCAGTGTGGTCCTGGCTGGCTTGCCTTCTCCAGCGTCCACTACGTCTACTGTGAAGCTGGCGCATAACTCCCTGGTATAAATGAGACTTCTGTGCACGAACGTTCCCTGCCGCGTGGGCTCCTTGTGCCTTCGCATGGTGCCTCCTTTCTAAGCTCCCTGCTTCCGACCCAGTGCCTACACATTTCTGTTGGATTCAGTCAGTGTCCACATCCAGTCTGAGGAGCAGGAATATCTGGGCTTGAGTGGCTCCTGGACTGTACTCCTTGCCCTCTTCACTGTCGTCTTCCTCAACATTAGTCCCTGTGGGACTCTCCTGTTCTTTTTTTTTTCTTTTAATTAGTGAGACACCATGAGGTACAGTTGTAGACTTACAAATTTTTGTGCTTGGGTTTCAGTTATATTGAGCAGCGTGTTGCTCTAAGTCTTCTGTGCTTTACCTTCGTTCATTCTCACAACAGCCCCCTGAGGCAGATCTCTTCCTGTCCCCTCACCATGCATGAGAGAAGTGAGCAGACAGGGGTGAATCACTTGCTCTAGGCCACTCATTCCAGGAACTCTGGCTCCAGTGTTCATACCGGAAGCACTGTACTCCACGCACTCTCTTGATCGATTTTTTGTTGTTAATGTTTTTGACCCACGCCCAGTGAAGTTCAGGGTTTACTCATGCACACTGGAATCATTCCTGGCTGTGCTCCGGGGACCATATGCGATGCTGGGGATTGAACCCAGGTTCAATCGAACCCTGTGCACAAGGCAGATGCCTGCCTGCTGTCCTGTTGCTCTAGCAGCACTTGATTGATTCTTGAGTAACTTTGTAAGCTACATGTTAACTCTGGCTCCTGTTCAGAGAGAAAAAAAACTGTAGCTACACAGGTTTGAAAGACTTGGTTGGGTTCCTGGGGCTGGTATGTAGAAAACTTGAGGTGTTAGGCCAGGTGTTGAAACTCTCCAGCTAGGTTCTTGCTGTTGTCCCAGCTGCAACTTCCAGGCTGACCGCTGAGGCCTGTCTTAGACTGTGCTCATTGATGGAGACTCTCAGAGGTGTGTGTTGGGACTTCTGCCACTGGGGTACTCAAGCACCCCAGGCTCCCCAGAGGGCTTAGCCCTAGCTCGTCTCCCATTTAGTGTAGCCGGTGTTCTGCTCTGGCTGTAAAAATTAAAAAGGAGTACTCCCAGGTTAGAGTGGGCTGCTCCAGACCAGAATGTCCTCTTGGTTTCATGAGTCATGTCTGCGTACCAAAAAGTGGTACCCCCCTGGCCTGGTCTGCAGCACTGTTCCTCTCTCTCCCCGGCTGTTCTTCTGTTGCTGAGTGAGTAGGGCCTGGTGTAGAGGAAAAGCGTTCCACGGATGGTGGAGGACAAGTCACCATCCCTGTGTATCCCTGGGCATGGCCATCAGGACAGAGATGGCCTCTGCCCTTCATCAGCGGCCTTGCTGTGCATAGGTCAGCTCTGTGGCCTTGTGCTCCACCAGCAAGCTACCTGGTTACTGCACCCTCACTGGTGGGCAAAGGAGGATGAGGCCCTCACGTAAGTCCTCCTCAAGCCTGCCTCTGCTTCGCCCTCTCCTCTGAAACTCATCTGCATTTACTACTGTAAGCCACAATGAAAGCATCCATCCATGGCCCTGACCTCACCGCAGAACCTTAAAATGATTCTTCCATTGGCACCGGAGAGATGATAGCACAGTGGTTAGGGTGTTTACCTTGCATACCATCGGCCTTGCATACCACTGACCCGGGTTTGATTCCTGGCACCCCATCTGGTCCCCCTGCACTGCCAGAAGTTATTCCTGAGTGCAGAAAAAAATTTCTTTCATCTGAATAGGCCATTCTTCCTATTTTTCCACCTAGAATCTGCTGGTAGAAACGACAGAGCGCGCCTATGGGCACCTCTCGTCTCTGCTGCCTGTATCAATCAGCACCAGGCTCCCTGGGGTTCACCTCTTCAGTAGCTCCTGGATCGGTGCGCTGTGTCTGCCCCCGCCACACACTCCAGGCGCCCTGATCCTTGCCACCACCGCTCTCTGCCCCAGGCATTCTTGTTCCCTTCACGAGACAGCCAGAGTGATCTTCTGTAGCCAGAATCAGATGGTGCCGTCCCTCTCTGCCTATTAAAAGGCCATTGTTGGCTTCTATTGCTGGCTGGATAAATTCCAGACGTCCAGTGTGTCCTAGAGACCCGTTGCAGTCCAGCTCCAGCTCACCTGAAGCCCTTCTCTGCATTGCAACCTCACAAGCCTTGAAGCATCACCGGCCTGGCCCCAGCCTCCAGGCACCTTTCCATAATGTTTCTCCCATCTAGTGTGTTCTTCTCGGTATCTTCTGTCACTGTCTTCTCTCAGAACTCACTGCAAGGGTCACTTTCTCAGAGAAGTTTCTAGACCTGCTCACCCATGTCTTGAGCAAGTTCCTCCTGTGATACGATAATGCTCCTTCTCCTGGGTGCTCAGGCTGTCCTCCCCCTAGGCTGAGAGGTTCCAGACGGCGTCTGTCAGCCTTGCTCACAGCCAGTTCCCAGCACATGCCAAGGGCTCGTTTGGGGAATGAACAAACGCAGGGTCGAGCCCGTGGTTCACTCAGGTGGGCATGTTGTGAAGGCGTCAGTCCTGCCTATTGGCTCGTCTGCCAGTTCCACGTCACCTCAGGCTCGCTGGGACAGCTCAGTGTGAGAGCGCCGTTGGGCCTGATGGACAGTTGCTAACTTCTCAGGTCCAGTCAGCGTGACTTGTGGCAGCATGTGCCTCGGGGCAGCGGGCAGAGGAGGGGCATGCTTCTTGCTTGCTGCCTTTTCCCGTTTGTACTTAATATTCATTAAGTACAAAAACTGCCTTAGCTAAAATTCTCAGGGGCTGGATTTTACCCCACCTCCCTGCCTGCCTGACCCAGGACCTGAAGACACAGGGATAAGCAGGCAACACTGTCTGCCTTTCCAGAACCCCCAGACAGGTGGAGGCGACAGGTACTTAACAGGGCAGTCCAGTGCTCAGAGTCGTGTCACTGGCACGAAGGGGTGCAGGGGGCCACTGGGGAGCGAGCACAGGGCTAGGGCGCTTGACCTGCCTGTGGCCAGCGGGGTTTGGTTCCCTGGCACCAATTACGGGCCCCTGAGCACGGCTGGGCATTTCTCCGCCTAACTCCCCTACGGACAAGGAAAGACACAGCAGCGATGCCGGTGGCAGAAATATTGTTTGCTACCTGCCCCCCTGCGACTGCTCCTTCCCTAGCCCTGTGAGCAGACACGCAGCGGCACTGGGGTGGACCCTAATGCTCCCGGATGGGAAGCGCGGCCCAGCCCAGCCCTCAGTGCACCGATGGTCCTCGCATGACAGAGAAGCAGACTGAGGCTCAGTGAGGCTACAATGCCTTTCCACGACTGCTGGGCTAGGAGAGGGCAGAGCAGGGTCTGTGCAGGCTGCTGCTTCTGCCTCAGAGGCCCAGAGGAGGGAGCACGGAACTCTGTCATGAAGAGGTTGGGGAAGGCCACGACCCATAGAAGCTGAGCTCAGAGAGTGAGTCACAGTTTCCCGGGGCGTGGAGCAGGGCCCAGCAGCTCAGGTGAAAGCAGCAGCCGGAGGCCTGGGGGTAGCCGGTGCGGTCTGTCTGTAGGCTGCAGAGTCCGCACTGCTCACGCGGGGAGGAGAGGTCGGCAGGCGGGAGTGGGCCAGGTAAACGGGCAGGGAGGCCAGGGTCACTGCGAGTCAGGTCGCAGCGCCATCAGGCGGCCCCCACGGTGAGGGGTCCATCCTGTGTCTTCTTGGCTCTGCTGATCTCAGCAACCTCGGGGCTGAAGCTCTGAGCTCCATCTGTCTCTCTTACGGCAGGAGAGGTGCTGAGAGGGGACCGGATTGTCAACACCCCTTTCCAGGTTCTCATGAACAGCGAGAAGAAGTGTGAGGTGCTGTGCGGCGAGTCCAAGCCAGTGACCCTGAGCGTGGAGCAGAGCCGGCTGGTGGCCGAGCGGATCACAGAGGACTATTATGTGCACCTGTAAGTTGTCCTGTGCTCCCTGTAGCCCGGTGTCCGCGTAGGGGCGGGCCCTGCTGGGAGTGGAAACCCCGAGGGACTGAGTGGGGCCTTGGGTTTCCAGCATCGCCGATAATCTCCCCGTGGCCACCCGGCTGGAGCTCTACTCCAACCGCGAGGGAGATGACCGGAAGAAGGAGAAGGACGTGCAGTTTGAACACGGCTACCGGCTGGGCTTCATGGATGTCAACAAGGTAGAGTGTCTCTGGTGCCTGGTGGGCTGAGGGGAGCTGCACCCCCAAATTATGAGTGTTCTGGGCTGCAGGAGAGAGGGAAGCACTGTGCCCTGGGCTCAGGTAGGGGAGATGAGGCACTTGCTCCCTGTGCGCTGGCTCTGCCCTGCCAAAGGCCCAGGGCCCCTGGTCCAGACTCTGATAGATGCCGGGCAGCAGGTGGGACACGCAGTACCTAAGAAGTCAGGGTTCAGGAGCCAGAGAGACAGCACTTGCCTTGCATGTGGCCGGCTCCGATTGCATCTCTGGAGCTTCTCCAGGAGGGTCCCCCAAGCACAGAGCCGGGAGTAGCCTCTAAACACCACTTGATATAGAGAAAAACACATACACAGCCACCACCGCCGCCATCAAAACCTCTGGCGTCTCGGGAGTCTGTGAGGCTGTCAGAGGGTGAGCTGAGCAGTCGTCTCCTTGTGTCTTTAGAACCTCACCCCCCCTTTTTTTTTTTTTTTTGGATCAATTGTTTTGCTGTCCTGGCTCTGCATTCAGGGCCTCACGCACCGTCACTGCTGAGCCCAGCCCAGGCCTGGTTCTTCCAATGCCTCGTTGAGTGACTGTGAGCTGTGTGCTTCCGCTCTTTCAGCCTTTGCTGCCTTCCGTCACTTAATCACTTAACTTCCCGTTAGTCGTCGATTTGCTCGAGCGGGCGCCAGTAACGTCTCCATTTGTCCCTGTCGCGTGCTAGTGTAGCCCAATGGCATCTCTTCGCTCCGGGAACATGGAGGGCCTCAAACCGATCGTTCATGACCTTGACAAAGAAGTCTGACCATCTGGTAGGTGGGCGGCCACGCGGTCTCTTGACATCCCGTGGAATCCAATCAGTAACAGCTCTAGTCCAACGGTCGTCTTTAAATCTCATTACGTGACCAGCCCATCTGATTTTCGACACCTTGGCAAATGAGACAGCGTCCCTGATCCTTGATCGTCGACGGATGTCAGAACTCCGGATTCGTTCTCTCATTTGAGTGAAACGTGATATTCCAAGCATAGCTCTTTCTATTCTTCTTTGGGAGACCTGAATGGCGTTCTCATCTTGTTTGCGTAGGGCCCAGGTCTCTGAGGCATATGTTAATGCAGGAAGAACAGTGGAATCAAAGAGATGTGCCCGGAGCCGGAGGTTCTTCGTCCTCTTAGCTATTTCTTCGACGTTCTTGAAGGCGTTCCAAGCCGCTCTCTTCCTCCTGCGCAGCTCGGGTGCCAGGTCATTTGTCATGTTGACCTCTCGACCTAGGTACACATAGCTGTTGCATTCGGAGATGGTCGTTCCATTGAGAGCGAATGGGGCGTCAGGAACAAGGCTGTTTCTCATAAACATTGTCTTCGTAAGATTCAGCTGTAGTCCTACCTTTCCACACTCACGGTCAAAGTCGGCCAGCATTTGTGCCGCTTGGCTGATGTTTGGTGTTATTAAAACAATGTCATCAGCAAAGCGGAGGTGGTGTAGTTGCCGACCATCTATCTTCACTCCCATTCCTTCCCATTCCAGTCGTCGCATGATGTTCTCGAGGGTGGCACTGAAGAGAACGGCAATGGAGAAGATTATCCATGACTTCTACTCAAATCTCTTCGATAGCCATGTCCACTTGCCGACATACCAAATTCCACAGGATGGGTATGTCGTTCCCAACGTTCTCCCTTCCGAAATCCGACACGCCATTTCGTCAGTAAAGAAGCAAACAGCACCCGGCCCAGACAAGGTCAGACCTGAACACCTGAAGAACCTGCCGTCAGTACTCATCAATACACTGGCTCGGCTCTTCACTCGCTACCTGTCTGAATGCAAGGTTCCATCTCAATGGAAAACCAGCAGGACCGTACTACTGTTCAAGAAGGGAGACATCCATGACATTGGCAACTATCGCCCGATCTGCCTATTGTCTGTCATCTACAAGTTGTTCACTCGAGTCATCCTGAATAGGATTGGCAGAACACTAGATGAAGGACAACCATGTGAGCAAGCAGGGTTCCGCAAAGGATTCAGCACCATCGACCATATCCACACGATAACCAAACTCATTGAGGTTTCTCGGGAGTTCAAGATGCCGCTCTGCTTAACGTTCATTGATTTAAAGAAGGCCTTTGATTCTGTTGAGACGGAAGCGGTCATTGAAGCCCTAGCCAATCAGGGCATTCAAGCCCAATACATCAGGATCCTCCGTGAGCTGTATTGTGGATTCACTACCAGGATCTCACCATTCTACAAAGAAGTGATCGTTGATGTCAAGAGAGGGGTGCGGCAGGGTGATACCATTTCGCCTTCCGTCAGATATCTGTAAAAACCAGCCTCCTCTGGGGCTGTTCAGCGGCCGCGTCAGACCATCTGTCTGAGCACCTCAGAGCACAGACTCTGAGAAACATACTGACAGTGACATTGAGCTCTTTTGTGGGGGAGAGGCCCTTCTGTGAGGTGCTCGGGGAGTTGGAGAGCCACTCCCGGAGACCTTGACTAGCCAGGCTAGTGGTTCAAGTGCTGGGCCCTGCAGAGGTCTGGGGCTCGAACCTGAGTCAGGCGCATGCCTTGCATGGCCCCAGCCCTTGAACTGTCTCCTCGGCCATTGGCAGCAATGATCTTCACCGTGATTCTCCTAAGGTCCTGATGCTCTGATACAAGCCTTTGATACTCAGGGAGTGAAACACAAAAATATTTATTTATTTTTAGTCTAATCTATCTCCAGTTTATTTTTTCTTTTTGGGTCACACCCGGTGATGCACAGGGGTTACTCCTGGTTCTGCACTTAGGAATCACTCCTGGCAGTGCTCGGGGGACCATATGGGATGCTGGGAATCGAACCCGGGTCGGCCGCGTGGAAGGCAAACCCCCTACCCGCTATACTATCGCTCCAGCCCCAAAAATATTTATTTTGAAGCACAATCTCTGTTCTCAAAAAAGCATTTCCTACTTGGAAAGAGAAGTGACAGTGTAAGACCCTGGGTCTCAAGTCTGTTCCCTGACAGACTGTGCTGGTCTGTGGCAGAGGACTTGACACTGGACTCCAAGGGAGTCCCGTGTGTCTCTGCGGTTGTCGCCGAGAAGGTGGAGCTGGGAAGTAGCTCGGTGCAGGGGAGAGTAGGGGGAGCGAGTGCTGTGATCAGAGCAGCAGTGCGGGCATCGTTTAGGCAGTGAGGAGAGCACCAGGCCACCTGGCGAGCAGATGTAGCCAAGAAGCTGATGATGATGGGGGCTTTAGGGACAGATTCTAGAGGGCCCTGGAGGAGGCTGGGGGTTTTCCTCATAAGCTTCAGGGTGTCCGAGAGGGTTTCTGATCAGGGAGGTGCTATGAAGCGGTGGCTTGTAGGGGGCTGTGACAGCTGGCAAGAGGAGGCCCCCAGTGCCTGGGGGACTTTCCTGGTGGTTTCTTGGCCCCAGCTCTCACGTGCCCTCCCTTGCTCTGTTTTAGATCTACCTGCACAATCACCTCTCGTTCATTCTCTACTACCACCGAGAGGACCTGGAAGAGGACCAGGAGCACACGTACCGCGTCGTCCGCTTCGAGGTGATTCCCCAGAGCATCAGGCTGGAGGGTGAGTGGGGAGGTGTGAGCAGAGGGGCAGGGCTGGAGGGGCCTGGGGTTTCACACCAGCATCTTCTCCCACTCGAGTCCTGGCATGGCTGGGGGCCCGCAGGACCAGTCAGGGTAGGGTCTCCGCCTTCCCTTCGGAGAAGGTGGGGGGTGAGGAGACAGCAGACATATGTCACGCCCTGGCCTGAGCGCCTTATCGGTTTACCACCTGCTGGCAGCTCCCGGGTGTGTGCTGTGATCCTCTCTAGTGAAGCAGCCAGGGGCTTGGCTGGGCCTCTTCCTGAGAACCAGCCGGCTCCCTTGGGGTAAGATGAGAGCAAGGGTGTAGGCAGAGCTCCAGGACAGTGGCCTTCAGTGTCTCTCTTCATCTGTGGGAGTCATCGACACAGACTAGAAGGGGCTTGGGGTCACAGTGATTGGGGCTCCGGGAGCCTGGCCCAACCCTGCCTACGGTTCCCCCTTGTCCCACCAGCCTTCCCGCACTGCAAGGCCGGCATTGGCATAGCAAGCCCAGCGCTCTTGTCCACAGCGGTGTGGGGTTTCTGGCCTTCTGTTTCTTTTCTCGGCTGTCTCATGTAAGGCAGAGAGGAAAAGCACAAACCGTCTCTCCTGTGAGCACAGTCACATGTGCTTCCGTCAAGTCCCTGACATCGTCTGCGTCCCCTCACCCCCAGCCGCCCCCAGCTTATTGAGGTCAGAGATGGTCTCTTTTGCGTGCCATGTTATTTCCCGCACCGCAGGCACTGGCTTTATGCTCATTGGTTGAACAAATGGGGAGAGAGGAGGACGAACAGATGAGTATGTGAAGGAAATAGCTGAGGGAATCGCTACAGTGCCTGAACTTGGTGGGTGAAGTGAGTTGGGGAAGCCTGGCCGAGCGAGTGAGGTTGATTAAATGAGTGACTACTTCCGTGAAGTGAAGGGAGACTGACTAAATGAGACCGATCCCCACCTCTGAACCCATGCTCTGCAGCCCACCGGGCGCTTTGGAAGGGCACGGCTCTGGGGGCACAGTTGAAGGACATTGTTGCAGTTGCCCTCCCAACCCCCACTGCTCTCAGCAGCTCAGAAGCAGCTTCTAGCCTGCCCCCACCCCCGCCTCAACCCCCACCCTAACTACCAGCAGCCCTGGTCTGTGGCGCTGACCCCCCACAGGAACAGACTGAGTCTCTGTCTCTCACAGACCTCAAAACAGGCGAGAAGAAGTCATGTACCCTGCCCGAGGGCACCAACTCCTCACCCCAAGAAATTGACCCAAACAAGGAGAACCAGCTGTACTTCACCTACTCCGTACACTGGGAGGTGAGCAGGCCTGGCGCCCACAGCAGGGGGATGGTTCTGGTGTGGGGAAAAACTGTCATCTTAGGGGAGCCAGAAAGATGGTCCAGGGGGTAAGGCATTTGCATTGCATGCCAGTTTGATCCCTGGCACCACTGGAAGCAACCCCCAGCACCCTAAGTGTAGCCCCAAAACCAAAAAAATTGGGGGGCCCAGGCTGTGACTCAGGTGAATTTGATCCTTGGCACTGCATGGTCCCCTGCACGCTGCTCAGGCATCATGGGAACTGGCCCCATGCTGACAACAGCGATGACAAGAACACCCCTGGGAGTCCTGGCTCTTACGCGCTTCCTCTGTGCCCCCCAGGAAAGCGACATCAAGTGGGCCTCTCGCTGGGACACCTACCTGACCATGAGCGACGTGCAGATCCACTGGTTCTCTATCATTAACTCTGTCGTGGTGGTCTTCTTCCTGTCAGGTGAGAGACCTGTGAGTTGGGCCGCGGAGAAGCCAGGGGCCGAGGAGGGCTGTGTCAGTATATCTGTCAGAGAGAACTTCTAGAGTATTCTAGAACTTCTGAGCATGCTCTGTGCGCAGAGCTGGGTCAGCAAACAGCAGCAGGACTCTGCGTTGGAGTTTGGGTGCACATTGGTGAAAAATGCTGAGACTCCACCCCAGCATTTGCTCCCTTGGGCGAAGAGGGCCTCTCCTCATGCACACACACCCTGGCTCAGGCACCGAGCCCCTGGCTCCTTCTGTTCAGGGACAGGCACCCTGCTGGATGGAGACTGCTGGGCGCCCCACCCCGGCCTCTGCCCCACACCGCCTCTATTCAGGTGGAGGGAGAGTCGGCCAGCGCACTCAGGGTGGAGCTGCAGTAGCGATAAGTGCTGTGGGGCACACAGATAGGGAGCCCCTTCGAGGCAGGGGCTGAGGGGGAAAGGGGCCACCTGTGTTAGGAAAGGCCTGTGTGAAGAGGCGCCGCCCCTCAGGGCCCAGGTCCAGCTCCGGTGAAACTCATGGCCTTGCAGGGGGACACCCAGGCGAGAAGCTGGGTGGCCAGAGGTGGCAAGAGAGGAGGCGGGCCGACGAAAGTGGAAGGTAGATCAATTTAATATCAAATGAAATATATTGGCAATTCTAGCTGTTGGAGAGTAAACATTCACGGGGGATTGGGGATGGAGTAGGACAATTGCCTTGCACGCATCTGACCCCCTTTGATCCCTGGCACCCCATATGATCCCCTGAGAACCCCAGGTGTGGCTCAAAGTGTGTGTGTGTGTGTGTGTGTATATAGCACAGCGGTAGGGCGTTCGCCTTACATGCGGCCAGCATGGCCGACCCGAGTTCAATTCCTCCGCCCCTCTCGGAGAGCCCAGCAAGCTACCGAGAGTATTCGATATGCCAGACACAGTAACAACAAACTCTCCAATGGAGACGTTACTGGGCCCGCTCGAGCAAATCGATGAACAACGGGAGGACCTTTACCTTTATTTATATATATATATATATATATATATATATAGAGAGAGAGAGAGAGAGAGAGAGAGAGCGCATACTTCATGCCTGAGTACATGCTTGGCATGCAGGTGGCCTGGGTTCAATCCTAGTACCACCTGGTCCCCTGAGCACTGCCAGGAACAGCCCCTGATCACAGAGCTGGGAGTGGCCCTGTGGTTCTGCCTGGTGTGGTCTACACACAAAAGACCCCCCCAGGGGTCAGCTGCTGCGCTGACAAGCACCTCACAAACATCTCAGTCCCGGAAGTCCCATGAGTTAAGCCTGGAAATGTTAAATTGGCTTGAGGTCATATGACCAGTGGAACTGCATTCTCTGACAGTCCATGTGGGACCCCTTGAACATTTAGCTGCCTTGGGGAGGTCTCGAAGCGAGAGGAAGGAGTTTGGGGGCCGTGAGACCCTCCACACAGAGGAGACAGCCAGAGTAAAGGAAAGGAGGAGTGAGAGGGATCTGTGAAACAGTAAAGGCGGTACCTCTCCAGGAGGAGGGGGCAGAGTGAGGCCTGGGCAGGCTGGGCTGGACTGGGCTGAGCCCACAGGCTGCTTGGAGTCGGGTGTCCTGTGACTGCTGCCCCGAGGGAGGGGTTGAGACACTGGAAGAAGGCTGCAGAGCGCTGGAGGACCACCGCATAAGGACTCCCGCACCTTGTCCCCGCAGGCATCCTCAGCATGATCATCATTCGTACCCTGAGGAAGGACATCGCCAACTACAACAAGGAGGATGACATTGTACGTCGGGATGACCTACCCGATGTGGGTGGGAAGGGGATGCGGTCTTTGACGCAGATGAGAAAGGGGGCTGGGTGGAGTGTAGCCCCCAGCGCCTGCAGCCTGGGCAGCCCATACTGCCAGGCCAGCTGGCCTGTACCGCCTGGCCAAGCATTGCCAGGAGGGAACCCTGACCCCAGCATCCCTGAGGAGGTTCCTATTAAATACACACATATCTGAGGCCAGAGCTATATTGTACCGTGGGTAGGGCACTTGCCTTGCACCTGGCTGACCTGGGGTCGATCCTGGCACCCCATTTGGTTCCCTGCACGTCACCAGGAGTGATTCCTGAGCGCAGAGCCAGGAGACAGCCCTGAGCACCACCAGGTGAGGTCTAAAAAGAATTTTAAATGAACAAAGTGGTAGAGGTAAGATTCTAATTCTAAGTATAGAAGTAATAGAAGAAATTATGGAAAGGAGACTTGATTCCTTGGACACGTAAGAAAATGTAATGGGGGAGTTCTAGAGAGATACTGCAGGAATTAAGATGGAATCTGCCATGATTTGATCCTCGGCACCCCAGCACTCCCTAAGCACCGCTGGGCATGACTTTGGAGGCCCCCGAGCAGTGCCAGCTCTGCCAGGGTAGCCCAGGTGGTCCCCAGCACCACACACCTGAGCAACAGTACCTTCAGCCCCTCACGTTGAACTGCTGACCCAGGTAACCAAGCATCACCAGGAGCGGCCCCTGTACCCCCTGAGTACCGGGGGGCGGGGATCCTATTTTAATGGGGCCCAGAGATGGCGTAGAGGCCTGGAGCGCATGCTGCACTGAGGTTGTCTCTCCTGCTCACGTGGTCCCCTGAGCACTTCCTCACTGCATGTGACCCACAAAACAAAATATAAAAACCTTTTAACTGCTGTACATGTCAGAATACATGAAAGAAACAAAACTATGATGAGGAGAAGGAGTATTTGCCACACACTTAGAAGAAGATGATACAGTTGAAACAAGAAAGAAACCTGGGGACTGGAGGGTGTTTGCCTTGCACGCAGCTGACCCGAGTTCGATTCCCAGCATCCCATATGGTCCTCCGAGCACTGCCAGGAGCAATTCCTGAGTGCATGAGCCAGGAGTAACCCCTGTGCATCGCCGGGTGTGACCCAAAAAGCAAAAAAAAGAAAGATTAGTAGCTCGCATGCTTGTTAGGCATGTGGGAAGCTGTTCCCTCAGCAGTGACAGTGGCTCACAGATTCAGACCATCACGAGGAGACGGTCATGAGCAGAGCATCAGATGGCATAGATGCATGCATGTTTCCACGTGTGTGTGAATAGCGTTCTTGATTAGCATCACATGGGAGAGTCGCCTTCCCATGCCAGCTGCACAGGAGACATGGACAAGGATTCTAAGATTGTCACCTTGCTTTGACCCAGTGATTCTAGAATTGTCCTTACGAGAAGCATCAAAGTACAGACTTGCTCTAGAAATATCCATTGCTGCTTCACTTCTCACTCAAATCAACTGGATCGGGTGTGGCCGCGGTTCCCCCACAGTACTCAGTCTGTGTGGCACAACATTGCCCAGCCTAGGCCTTGAACCCGTGGATGCATTGATTAGACTTAAACAGAAAATAACAAAATCACAGTAGAATACAGGCTGAGCCCAGCTTCATGTGTCACATACATTTGTCAAGGACCAGAAGGCAGGGTGAAGCTGTGTTCCGTCTTTCAGGGTTCTGTCCTCCCCTTCTCCACTCTGGGACCCCAGCTGGCGCCTTGTTGCCTTGTACCTGCAGTTTACGCTCTGTCAGAGTTGCAGCCCCAACCCCTGTCTTTCTGCATTCAATGTTTTTTTCTCCTCTGCTATTTACTGCTCTCCATTGATGTGAAACTTGACCACATACTGAGGAGTTTCTTCTCATCCCGCCCTCCCCCTCCCCCCCAACGTGTGTAAGATCATGCATAGCTTGATAGTCAGCCCCAGTGCCAGGCAGGGCTGGTTGGCATCTGCATGCCCCAGGGCCCTCCCTCATCTGGGAATGTGGACGCAGCGTCACTCTCTGCCTCTCTGCCACAGGAAGACACCATGGAGGAGTCTGGGTGGAAGCTGGTGCATGGCGACGTCTTCCGGCCCCCCCAGTACCCCATGATCCTCAGCTCCCTGTTGGGCTCAGGCATTCAGCTCTTCTGTATGATCCTCATCGTCATCTGTGAGTGCGCCTGGAGGGGGGCTGACCTCAGGGGGCAGCCAAGGGGCGGGGCTTCCCTCTCTCTGGGTCAGGGAGAGCCACCTGTCCCCACAGAGACTGTGCCTCAGCTCCTGGTGGGCTCGCCTGCCATACAGCCCCCGGCAGCTCTGGCAGCGTGGCCTCCTCTAGTGCCAACTGTTCAGGTGGCTAACCCACCACAGCACCCCGATTAAGACTTCAGGCAGTGGGACCTGAGAGAGAGTACAGCGGACAGGGCGCTTGCCTTGGACGCAGCCAACCCGGTTCAGTCCCCGGCACCGTATGTGGTCCCCTGAGCCCTGCTAAGAGTGATCTGTGAGCTCAAAGCCAGGAGTCAGCCCTGAGCACAGCTGGGTGTGATCCCCCCCAAAAAAAACAGGCTTAGGCCAGCCCCAAAAAATGAATATGGAGGATTTCTAGACAATTCTGAAGTCAGTCTGGCAAGGTTTTTTTAATCCTTTCAATATTTAACATGGTAGTAGTAAGGTAAACAGACCAATCAATACAGACTTACGTATATGTATAATGTGTAAATGTGTGTATAGGTATTGCAAGATGATCGCATCATTCCATTTCTGCCTTGTGATGAGAGTTTTAAAATTTGCTAGTGACCGTGCTCTGCCTCACTGAGCCTCTCCCCCTTGCCTCCCAACTTTATGGGCAGAGACAGGCCGTTTCACTTTGGGGCCCCTGTTTCCCAGCGGATTGCTGGGGCAGGCCCAGTCAGCTGGCACGGCTGATCCCCTCAGCCCTGAGCCCGGCTGGTGACCTGTGCTGACGGCTGTGCCCCAGTGGACCTCAGTCGAGCCCAGCACCCTGTGAGAGGAGCCTAGTGGCTGTTCTGGCGGGGAGGTGGGAGGGGGTGGGAAGGGAACCTGGGCAGGGGTGGACTCTGGGCCCAGCACCAGCCCCCTGACGTCTCTCTGGCCTTTCTCCCTCCCCTCCCTGCTCTGCAGTTGTGGCCATGCTTGGGATGCTGTCGCCTTCCAGCCGGGGCGCTCTCATGACCACCGCCTGCTTCCTCTTCATGTTCATGGGGTAGGTGTGTCAGAGGGGGCTTAGGGGCCACCCCGCACCGCCTGTGCACCTGCTCACAGCCCCACCCCCACCCCCCCTGCTGTTTCCCCATAGGGTGTTCGGCGGATTCTCTGCCGGTCGGCTCTACCGCACTCTCAAAGGCCACCGGTGGAAGAAAGGCGCCTTCTGTGTAAGTGTGTGCCTCTGCGGTGGGCTCCCCACTTCCCTGGGCCGCTGGGGCCGTGGTGCCCACACTCGCTTTCATCAGCATCTTGTTTATCAGTCACGGTTCAGCAGAGAGCTGTCCCTGGGTTTCGAGTGCCGGGAACTGCACGTTGTTGTGCAAGGCGGACACACCCTGGGTGGTGAGGGGGTGTCACAGACTGGGGGGTCTCAGGAGACGCTGATCAGACCCAGTTATAGACAGAAGTGGGGGCACAGGAGGGCAGTTAGGGATAAGAAGAACACAGAATAGGAGGCCGGCCTGGCTCCGAGATCAGGGGGTCCCTTCTGAAAGGAGTCCTGAGGAGCTGGGGCCGGGTTTGCCCAGGCAGGAGCTTCTCAGTCTCCCGCCTCTTGCTTGCAGACAGCAACTCTGTACCCTGGTGTGGTGTTTGGCATCTGCTTCGTGCTGAATTGCTTCATCTGGGGCAAACACTCGTCGGGAGCGGTAAGAGCCCTGCCCCGCCCGGGCAGCCCCCCGCCCCAGGTCACTTCCTGCCTTTCCCTTCCCTTTTTGGGCACCCAAAGTTGTGTTCCCAGCTCTGGTGGCAGAGGGCTAGCTGGCGTTTCCCCAGCCCTGCCCAACCCGCGGTCAGCTGGCTGGCCTTCGCCCATGTCTCTGTGGGGCTGCTTCCCCAGTTCTGGGGCCCCCTGGGGGCTTTCCCTTTGACTCCACCACGGGAAACTGCTGTGATTGTCGGTCACTCTTCCCGAAAGCGGCCTCTCCTATGCCCCTGCCCCTGGGCGGGTGCAGCACACAGCGGGAGGCTGGAATCCCTCGTGCCAGCCCATCCCGCTGCAGTTGCCCACGATGTCCTGATTCGGATCTGGAGTCTGCGGCAGGCGGCATGAACCTCCCTCCTGCCGGTGCCCCTCCAGCCCTGGGTCTCTGCACGCCCAGGAGCCGTTGGCGCTTCCTTCTTCCTTCCCCTTTCTGGACTCTGCACTGCTCTCCCGCGAGCACAGAGACGCTCAGCTCTGGACTGTGCTTTTGTAGTTTTGAACATCCCTTCTTCTTCTTCTTCTTTTTTTTTTCAAGCTATATTCAAAGTGGAATTATAGAATTTTTAATTACCAAAAAAAAAAAATACAACCTCAAACATCTGTGATGTTTTCTTTGTTCTAAGTACGTTTATAGTAATTCATTTCTTCCTTTTGGTATGGTTTTTGTAAGAACCATAATGTACAGAAGTGGAGAAAGATGGAAATGTAAAATTGGTTCCGATCCCTTAAATCCTAGCAGAGCAAGTACTTGGTATAGGCTGTTTTCAGCACTGTAGCACTGTCCTCCTGTTGTTCATCGATTTGCTTGAGTGGGCCCAGTAACATTATGAGACTTGTTGTTACTGTATTTGGCATATCAAATACGTCATGGGTAGCTTGCCAGGCTTTGCTGGGTGGGTGAGACTCTCGGTAGCTTGCTGGGCTCTCTTGAGAGGGGCAGAGGAATCGAACTTGGGTCAGCCTCATGCAAGGCAAAAGCCCTACCTGCTGTGCTATTGCTCCAGCCCGTTTTCAGCATATATGCATATAAGTATTGGTGTTTTCATTCAAATATATAAATATTCATAGCCTACTTTCACTTAACAGTACATTTTTTGGTAAGGTTTTGTGAGAGTAGAAGAGGTTTGGGTTTCGGGGCCATCAGTGCTCAGAGGATAATCCTGGCAGTGCCAGGGATTGAACCAGGGTCCGCCGAGTTGTGTGAGCCAGAAAGATAGTGCAAAGAGCTGGGCACGTGCTTTACATGTGGAAACCCCGGGTTCAGTCTTGAGCACTGAGCTAGGAGTAACCCCACAACACTGTAAGATGTAGCCTGAACCTCCACCTCCTCCCTTCCCCTGCACTAAGTACATGTGAGTTTTGTTTTGTTTTGTTTTGTTTTTGTCTTGGGGTCACACCGGTGATGTTCAGAGGTTAATCCTGGTTCTGCATTCAGGAATTACTCCTGGCGATGCTCGGGGACCTTGTGCATGCCAGGGATCAAACTGGGTCGGCCGCATGCAAGGCAAATGCGCTCCCTACTGTACTGTTGCTCAGGCCCCAGTCCATGTTTTTTTTTTTTTTTCCAGTTGTTACTGTTGCTCTGTTTTGTTTGGGTTTGCTTTTGGGGGAAGCGGGACTTTCCCCTGTGGGCCCGCCCCCCCACCTCACAGCGCTGTGCCCGCAGGTGCCCTTCCCCACCATGGTGGCCCTGCTGTGCATGTGGTTCGGCATCTCCCTGCCCCTCGTCTACTTGGGCTACTACTTCGGCTTCCGCAAGCAGCCGTATGACAACCCTGTGCGCACCAACCAGATCCCCCGGCAGATCCCCGAGCAGCGGTGGTACATGAACCGGTTTGTGGGGTGAGTCTCTGTGGAAGTGGCGGGGCCTGGGGGCGGGGAGGTGCCACTGGTGCACCTACAGATCTGGGTGGCTTCAGTGAGCTCAGCTGGACCCCAAGAGAGGAGCAGTGTGTGTGTCGGAGCCCCACTTGGGTTCGGCCAGAAGGAGCCAGGCCGGGGAAGCCAGGGTGGGCCGTGCAGTGGGACAGTGGAGGGCGCCTGTTTCCTGGCCTGGGAGATGGGGCGGATGCCCACCCCTCTGCCTCTCGAGAGGCGCCTGCGGGGTCTGGGCTGGGCGGCACTCACCCTCCCCTTCTGCCGCAGCATCCTCATGGCCGGGATCCTGCCCTTCGGTGCCATGTTTATCGAGCTGTTCTTCATCTTCAGTGTGAGTACTTCCGCCCGCCCAGATTCCCCTCTGGTCTCCCAGGATGACCAGAACCGCCCCACCGTGAGGGACAGAAGGGTAAACCCCATCTACCCCTCTTCAGGCCCCTTAGCACCACGGTACCATCATTGCCAGGTCTGCTTTCATTCCCAGGTGCCCCCACACCTTTCCCTGGCGTGGGATCCTGGCTCATGGCCCGGGGTTGGCACTCAGGAGCTCCTTGCTCGGTAGTCGTGGTGCTGGCAGCTCCTTGACCAGTGTGCCAGGGTTGGGGCTGGCACAAGGGGCCCCTCAGAGCCATTGAGGTTTAGCTCTCCCACGCCCCGGCGTTTCCCTGAGTGCCCTGACTCCCGCCTGGTCTGAGCAGAAACCTGGTCAGAGGGTGGCTGGCCACCTCTCTTCATGTGCCCCTGGGTCGTCCCAGCCGTCAGAGGCCGGGCTTCCAGGTAGCAGCTGCCCTGCATGGACCCAGTCACTCTGCGCTCTGTTCACTGGGCGGTGGGAGTTGGGAGCCACCACCCATGACTAAGGCAGCCTTGCCCGGCCAGGTGCCAGACCCCCTGGCCACGTCTCTGCTGCTGCCCCGGCGGTGCAGGTGGGGTGCGCCATTCCCGTCGAGGACGTGGCGCCCTTCTGAAGGCCCCGTTGGCTCTGTTTGTCCACAGGCAATATGGGAGAATCAGTTTTATTATCTCTTTGGCTTCCTGTTCCTCGTCTTCATCATCCTGGTGGTCTCCTGCTCCCAGATCAGCATTGTCATGGTGTACTTCCAGCTCTGTGCAGAGGTGAGCGGCCTGCAGGGACACCGCATAGTGCATGGGCCTCTCCTCGGGCCTTGAGATTTTTATGGTTTTGCGTTTGGTTTTTGGGCTTGGTATGGGTTTTGTTTTAGGGGGTGTTATTTGCAGAGGGGTGGGGGCTTGGGGTTACACCCAGCAGTGCTCAGAGCTGACTCCTGGCTTTAAGCTCAGGGATCTCTCATGGTGGGACTCGGGAACCATGTGGAGTACCTGGGGTTGGAATGCGTATGGGCCGTGTGTAAGGAGGCGCGGCCTGCCTTGAGTCCCGGACATACGTATAGATTCCTCCGAGGGCCTGTGTCTCAGCTCCCTGCTAGGGGTCAAGAGGCATGCCTCGGCTGGAAGTGTGGGAGTCCCTACAACCTGGTGATCAGGTATGTCCACGCCAAGAGTGGTCTCCTGAGAGCAGGCAGGGGCTGGTGACCTGCCATCCTTCCATGCCAAGCCCCTGGCAGAGCGGGCAGAGCACTGCCTCCTGCCCTCTTGGGGCCTTCCTTCCCTGTGTGACAGGGCCAGCAATAGGGCAGCCTGGGGGCTGCCCCCAGGACTAAACGAGCCGCCACACAGCGCACCTTCCAGGGAACAGCGCCTGACACGCGGTGGGCGCTTGGTTAAACAAAGCGAGTCGTCCACGCAGTTCTCCCACTGTTGGCGGCAGTCAGGTTCGCTCTGGAGTCCTCAGTCCTGTGAGTTTTCAGAAGGGCCTGCGGTTGTCAAGCCGCCATCTCAGCCAAGATCAGAAACATTCCCATCACCCTAGTTATCTGTATTCTTAGCCCAAAGTCGTTCGCCTTCATGGCCAGTGTGAAATATGGGTTTGGATCCTGCCTGAAGACCGCCATGACGCTTCTTTCCCCTCAGGATTACCGCTGGTGGTGGCGAAACTTCCTGGTCTCCGGGGGCTCAGCCTTCTACGTCCTGGTCTATGCCATCTTCTATTTTGTTAACAAGGTACCGCCCTCCGGGTGGGCAAGGGGAAGGGAAGGGCCCGGGAGAAAACCTGTGCTTTCCCCCTAAACCTGGGGCCCGTCAGAGCCCTTCCAGGACTTAGTTGCCGTGGCACATGGGAATTTCAGGAAAGAGTGGATGTGTGTTCTCAGAAAGAGAAAAGGCTTCAGGCTAAATGACAGTGAGATCACTGCATGGGAAACCTGATCTTATAGAGTAGATTTCACCTCGGGAAGCTAGAACAGAAGGTAACATGGAAGAATAAGAAAAGTTGATAAGAGAGGCCGTTAAAGATGAAAGAAAGCAGAAAGTGCTGGAATAGCCTTCAGGAACTGGCACATTCAGAGTTCACTGTAGCCAGAGTGGTGAGAGTACAGAGCAGACCCACTCTGTGCAGTGTTTAAAGATTGATGCCTGCATACACCACGACATCTATGGGAGGAGCTGGGGGTCATCTCCAGTGGGCCTCGCCTCTCCAAACCTGAGCCCACTTCTGATTTGCAGCCAGGCAGCGGGCCCTGACGAGGCTCCTGGGTCTATTGGTTGAAGCTGGGAAAGCACGTTTCCTAAAATGTCAGGCTTAGAAAGTCCAGAAGGCCCAGGGCAGGCAGTGCTGAGCGCTGCCAGTTTGCCATGCGTGCCCCTCCATGCCAAGGCCCATACCAAGCTTCCACACAAGCGGTTCCCAGTCAGGCACCAGCAGACTCTAGCCTCGGTGCCAGCCACAGCCCTGCCTCTGAATCAGGGTTTATTGGCGCTCAGCCATGCTGGTTTGCTGACATCCAGGTGGGGAGATTTTACCGTACAGTGGCAGAATTGAGTCATTTGAGTTTTTGGTGGTGGTGGGTAGTTTTTGTATGTTGATTTTTGGTTTTTAGTTTGGGGGCTGTCTGTACCCAGCAGAGCTGAGGTGCATGCTCTCCCTGGCGAGTCAAGTTGTTTGACAGATGCCATATGGCCCTTAAGCCCAACACTATTTATAATCTGACTTTGTTGTTGTTGGGCCACACCCAGCAGTGCTCACGGCTGACTCCTGGCTCTGCACTCAGGAATCACACCTGGCGGGGCTTAGGGACCATATGGGATGCCAGGAATCAAGCCCGGGTCAGCCATGTGCAAGGCAATCAGTCACCCTACCCACTGTACTCTCTTTCAGCCCTTAATTTGGCTCTTTAAAGAAAAAAATCTTTAAGTTTAGGTATTATGTTTTTGATGTGTAGTGTTGATGTACAGAGTTACCACACATGACCACCCCAAGGTCCTGTGACCTCCACTACTGTCCTTCCGTCATGTCCATCTGCCTCCATCTGCGTTCCCTCCCCCCTCCCCTCTCTGACTCTTGACCAAAAAGTTTGCTGACCCTGTCCTGGCGCAGTTAGTGGCAGAAGCCACTTCCTTCTGACACATTCTCTTTGGAAATCGGCCTCCTTGGAACTTCCATCCTCAGACTGTAGATTCACTTTCTGAAACTACATGCAGCCTGAACCCCCTTCCCGCCACCCCCCCCCCACAGCCCTCCCTGTCCTCTCACACCCGCAGCCCACGCCCCTCCCCTCGCACCCGCCGCCCACCCTTTTGCCAGCTCTTGCCCCTTTCTCGTGAGACCGGGGAAGGTAGGCGCCGGTCGCTGCCCGCGGCAGACTGCACTCAGCGACCGTGTCTCTCTTCTCTGCTCGTGCCCAGCTGGACATTGTCGAGTTCATCCCCTCGCTGCTCTACTTTGGCTACACGGCCCTCATGGTCCTGTCCTTCTGGCTCCTCACGGGCACCATCGGCTTCTATGCAGCCTACATGTTTGTCCGCAAGATCTACGCTGCTGTGAAGATAGACTGATGAGGTGGACCGGACCAGGGCCAGGCCCACCTCGTCGTCGGACTGGAAGCCACCTGCGCAGGGGACTGCAGGCGCCCAAAATAAAATCGCTCCTGCCCTTTGGGCTGTGACTCCTGGCACAGTGTTCCTGGACCCGGGGCTGCGAGGGTGCGGGAGGGCCTGTAGATAAATCTTGCATTTTCCTTCATCGTCTTATTCCGGTTCTGTGGGGGATGAGTTTTTTTGTGGGTTGTTTTTCTTCAGTGCTGAGAAAGTTCCCTCGGCAGGAACTCTTCGACCTGTTTCTTCAGGTTTGGTTTTTGGTTTGGGTTTTTTTTTTTTTATCAAATGGACCCAGGACGGATGAGTCCGCCGAGACACTGGGTTCCGGTCACTGTCTCCACCTCAGTTCCTCAGGGCTGTTGGCCACCCCACAACTGACCGGAAGAGTGACCACCTGCCTTCCCAGGCTTCCTCCGGGCTCCCGAGCCTCTTGGCCACCGCCCTTGCCGTGGATGCTGTGACGAAGCCCAGCTGCAGGTGGGACACGCGTGCTCAGTGCCAGCCTGCACGCCAGCCTCTTCCCCTACCTCCCCCGGGGCTGCCCCCCTGAAGGGCTTCTGCTCGTCTCGTCGCCCGGAGCAAGCCCGGGTCTCATCCCTGGAAGTGTGGGGGGTGCCCAGGGTCTCAGAACAGCAGGATACCCCCTGCTCAGAGCGGCAGGAGTCGGCTCGTCTAAAGAAGAGACTTCAGTGAACTGTCTTGTGCCAAGAAATAAACCCTGGACGTGGGGCCAAGTGTTTCCAGAGCCAGGCATGCGGGGGCTGTCTGGGTCGAGGGTACCCCAGCCCCTTCTCTGGGGATAGCTGCTCTGTGGGCTGTGTGTATGGCTTACGAAGTCTCCCCCCGGGCTCGCCCGCCTCAGTGCCCACTCGGGGCTCTCTGAGCTCTTGGCCCCTCCAGCGCGTGACCCTCTGCGGACACCCAGAGCCCTCTTGTGATGGGATGATGGGGGGTAAGTGCCATCCTGCCTGCCCCACTTCCCAGGAACAGGCTTAGGAAATGGGAACGAACGGGGCAGGCCTGGCTCCTACATCGATAACCCTGGCCGCCCCCCACCCCACCATCCCCCTCACCCCAAGGATATCCACTCTTCAGTGGCCAGCCATCAAACCCACCATGGGATGAGGGTTGAAGGAACAGCCACACGGCCTGGCTCCAGCAGCTTTGGGATTCCTACCACGAGACAGAGCCAGGAACACTCACGCCCTTCACCCCCAACCCAGCGTCTGCCCCAGGCCCCACCGACTGCACCAATCAGACCAGTGAACTCCGCCTCACCACGGTCACGCCGCAGCGCCAGGTGGCACCCAGGAATCCGGCGGCAGGAAAGGGACCCTGCGCCGATGATGAGTTCTTTTGTTCGTTCCAATCGTGGGTTTTTTTTTTTTCCCGAAGAGATTCTCTTGTGGGGGTTTGTGGGGGAAATGGACTCATAAAGAGTTCGATTATCATCCATTTTTCTGACTTTTTAAATCATCGTTATTATTTTTAATTAAGAAAAATGCCTGTATGCCTTTTTTTGATCCCGTTGTAAATAAATATGCCATTGTCCTATTGCCCGGTGTCTTGCATCTCTTGCTGTGGTTCGGAATCGGACATGAGGCGGCTTCCTCAAGCGGGTGAAGCTGCCTGTGTCTCGCCAGCTTAGTCCTACCTCAAGCCTTTCAAGGCTCAGTCCGCTGTTGCTGGCCTGCTTCGGGCCGTCCACAGCAGCTGCCTCCCAGCTGCTCAGCTCCTGCAGTTGCATTTAGAAGTGTTTGCCCAGGACTGGAGCCATAGTACAGCGGTTAGGGCGTTTGCCTTGCATGTGACTGACCCGGGGTTCGATTCCCAGCATCCCGTATGGTCCCCGAGCACTGCCAGGAGTAATTCCTGAGTGCAGAGCCAGGAATTCCTGTGCATCGCCGGGTGTGACCCCAAAAGACTGTCACTGTCACTGTCCTCCTGTTGTTCATCAATTTGCTCGAGTGGGCCCAGTAACGTCTCCGTTGTAACACTTGTTACTGTGTTTGGCATATCAAATAGGTCACGGGGAGCTTGCCAGGCTTTGCCATGCAGGCGAGATACTCTCGGTAGCTTGCCGTGCTCTCCGAGAGGGGCGGAGGAATCAAACTCGGGTTGGCCATGATGGCTGCATGCAAGGCAAATGCCCTACCGCTGTGCTATCACTCTATCCCACCCAAAAAGGGGGGAAAAAAAGAAGCATTTGCCCCTGGGACCCCAAAGTAGGAAACAGCTGGCAAGTGTAGATTTTGTTAGCAGTGAAACCTAGGATCTTATTTTCTCAGCTCCAGTACATCACTGTCAACTCATTTTCCCTCTCTGTCCTCACTCCTACAATACCTAGAAATAGGACAGAATACCTAGAAATAGGACCAGAGAGCTAGTACAGTGGGTAGGGCACTTGCCTTGCATGCAGTCAACCCAGGTTCAATCCCCAGCACCCCATATTGTCCTCTGAGCCCAGCAGGAGTGATGTCTGAGCACAGCACCAGAAGTAAGCACCATTGGTGTGGCCCCAAAATATAAAACCCCCAAAAGGAAAAGGACAGGCGAGAATTCACGGGCTTAAACGTCATCAAGGAAAGGAGCAGTTAGATCTCGAGTCTGGGTGTGTCCAGGGGCTCTGGCTGAGCTGCTCCTGTCCCTGTTAACTGTCAGTGGTCTTCGCTGTGCGGGAAAGGACACATAGTCACAGCAGTTTGGAAAACCCTGAGGGGAGGGGGGGAGCTTGGGTTCCTGTACTGCCACATACTCAAGGGGCATT